CCCCCCCCCCCTTATGGGCGGAGGTAGCTGTTAATCTGCAAATTTTTTCCCATTAACCCTTTTTCTTTGCCGTGTTCACTCACAGTGTAGTTTTTGTTAGTTGTCTCGCTCCACGGCCAACCGTTCGTGAATACCCCATAATGTAGTGTGTCACGAGATTAGTACGCGAATATTTTGGTATAGAAACCAGTTAATTCTACTTATTTTGAGAGTTACAAATGTGCAAAAAAGGTAGGGATAACTGGATGGCCCCATATCCCTCAAAATTTTTCTAATCTGCACGTATAGAGGTATTGTCAACTTACCGTTTTCCGACAGTCTGTTTGTACCAGTGTTAAGTGCATCTTGTATTGAATACCATTATGCATTTGTTGATGAACTTGATCTATCGTATAGACGTCCCATCGATACAAATCATTCGATTTTGCATTCATGTCATCTACTGCTTTTTGAGCCAACTCCTAAAAATGGCACTCGTGAAGTGGCGTGACTACGATGGGTTACACAGGTAAAAATCTGATCGGGTTTAATAAAATGGCACAGCCGGAGAGTGAAAATTTAAAAAATTGTCAATTTATATAGTTTTACATATTTAGTTTCTACATGTTTCATTCGGTAAACACACTGTCAAGACAAACCTTATGGAGCTCTGTCAAGGGATTCACTTCCCCCGATTCCTTCTCCTTGATGGAGGCGGCGAATAATTGAGGAATGAGAAACACGAACCAGACATGCATCACTAAAAGTTGAAAGCTAATTTCATACATTTCACAAAAACTATCTCCAAATTCAGCGAAATCCCACATGCAAAAACGTCGGATGAGATTGTTAGGCAACTAATAGGTTGATGCATAATCATTGCGGTTTTTTTCGCTGCTTCTTTTCTCTCCATTCAATTTCAATACCGTAGTCAAGATTTTTATAGAAATAATCTACTCAATTTCTTCAATAGAAATACGTATAGAAAGTCATCATCTTACTCGCCTTAATATGCTCTATTACTTCGAGAAATGATGGAAGTTTGCACACTCATTACGCGATTTCAACGAACTTTTTCGCGGTGGGATTGTCAGCCAAAGCCAACTGAGGACTGGGATTTGCTCCTAATTCTCCATATTGACCCACAGAAACTCTTAAGTTATCACGTCACCCGTTCGTTGAAAGATTGGCTAGCAAACAGGCCTTTCGACGAAATGGATGACTTGGTAACCGATATCAAGGTGAGGATCGCCTCCATGGACCGAAATTTCTTCTCCTGTGGAATCCGGTTGCCTAGCAAATGGGAAGCAGTGCTTGACATGGATGATAGATACATTTTAGAGTAATTATTTGTACATGTCTTTGCTAAATATTTCCATCGTTCCTTTAAGTAAAGTTTGCTGGAAAAAATCCGCAATAATTATGCATCAACCTAATAGTAGATCCTCGACGATACTACCCACATCTCAGTGTAGCAAATTTTAGTCTTAAAGCGCAAATTTCTAAGAAACGAAGCAACGTAGATACTGAGCCTTTGGTATGCTCTTGCCCAGATTTCAATCATCAAAGGCACAGCTCACGATAAAATGGTCTCTGAGATTCCCCCACACGATGAATTTGAGGCGCCCGTGTATGCCATATATGGCACTATCAAGTCCGAAAACGGCCCAGTTAGGGAGTTATAAAGGCTCAAAGGTTGTATTGTATGTATCCTCGAACGAGTTTCACCGGCATTGTAGAGGCTGCACCGATCACAAGGGAACCCTTGAAGGAAGTTCAAAGAAGTTGTCATGACCGATAGCGACAGTGAATGGCAGTTCTGAACAGTTCTGACTTGATGTAGTCAGCTCTTTGCACAATTGCAACGACCGAAATCTCGTCCAAATATCCCTTCCATGTTATTTCCGTCGCGGTAATCTCGTCCAACCTTTATTTTCCCTATGTACTTTTGAGGAGCCTTATTTTTCAGGAATTGGCGGATTTTCTCGCTTTCCTCACTACCGATGAACCATTCTCAATCTATACTATCGCTTTTTGTATAAAAATTCCATGCGTAACGAGTCTATATGGCGATTCGGAATAATCGGCCGTACGGATAGGATTCAAATCTTTGGAAACGAGCCTGACAAAGAACTAGTGACCATTTCAGACGAAGATAAACCCCTTCTAAGTGCCGTTGCATGTACCGAAGTTGACCTTTTTGGCGGAAACCCTGATTAAATAGGCATTCAACAAAGGTGAGATGGTGTTTCTCCAATGCTGTTGACAAGCATTGGTCAGTAGCAGTTACATTCCTTTTTCTGATTCAGCCGTTACCGTTTGATGACACAATTCGTTTATTTTCCGATATTGAAGCCACCTAGACTGCTTTAAGGGATGCTCCTGTTCCTTAGCCATAATCATTGAGAAATAATATCAGGGCCACTACTCGTTCGCAAGTGATCAAACACCTTTTGGCCACTCCGCCAAAAAATAGCTGTAATGAGCCAGTAAAAAAAGGACAAATTGCAGTGAGGTCATCAACACTGACCGATACTACTGCCCGTCTCCCCGCTCGCTTGCTGCAGCCGCGATAACGCGCAGCCGTGCGCTGTGAAGGGAAAGATCTCAATGCGCTGGGGTAGGTTACGGTACCTGCAGCGGAACCGTGTCGCTTACAGTGGGAATTTCTGCGCAAAAACGGCCACCCAGCTAGCCCCTGTCTAATTAACATGCTATTCTTTTACCAAATAGGAGAAAGGAGAAAGAGAAAAGCGAAAAATCCATAGAGATTACTGTATTGGAACAGTTTTACTCGATTGAATTGTATTCGAAGACTGATTAATTCATTGAAAAAGACGATTGATTAACTGGCAACAACTTGATTGCTGAACGTTTGCGCGGATTCTTGCCTACTTGGGAGCCTTTAATGATGACGGAGCTTTATAGACATCCTCCATTGCATTTGAACCCAACCTTCTGGGTTTGATGGAGATCTGTCAAAACCATGGTCGTGACCTATGGTCGTAGTCCTTTAAAACGCACACATTCCCGGTAGTTACAGCACTTGCTTTGACAATTATAAAAATAAAAACCAATAAGTTGGGATTAGTTTTGAGCAGAATCCTAGACCATTAAGCATTATAGTGGGTAGTAAGAGAAATTCAAATTCCGAAAGGGGATCATATAAAAAGAAGGGAGAGATCGAAAAAGGAGCTCATACATTCTGAAAACAGTTCAAATCAGGAGGAGCTACGGGAAAAAGAAGAGGACCCCGGACGATTCAATAATGATGACAGCCGTAAACTCTTTCCCACATCTTTTCTGTTCTTCGATTAAGCTTTGTGACTGTTAGAAAACTCTAATGCTGGAAGAGAGTCTATTTTTTCACACAACTATAGCTTACATTTCTATGCAACGCCTACTACACCGTATTTTCAAAATGAACCTCGCTTTCTGTATGAATACTAATCTTTTTGCTTTAGTATATTCATTAATCCATGTATAACTGACGTATACACAAAATTAACGTCCAGTCATTTCATCGCCCGAGAGTCATGCAGACAGCTTCTAATCCAGCTAAAAATGAAAGAACAGCGCCTGTGCTAGTATGGGCACATGCTGCAAAGAACGCGAAATCATCCGAAAAGTGAATTAATGGAATTCGAAACTCAAGGCTAGCTACCATGAGGAGCCCCAAGGAAAAAAGATGGAGAGACATGATCGAGATAGACCGGATCCATTTGAATCCAAGGTAACGGCAGAAGCTACAGCAGATCAAAGGAAGAAGCACAGGCTAACATGAANAGCTGACCCTGTAACTGCGATTGAGCTAGGGAGAGAAGGAGAAGGAGAATCTCATTGCCTAAGATCTGATGGTAAGCTGCTGGCTTCATATTCAAGACTTATGGAAATTGCTTGTTCATTAAAAAAACGTTTACAATCTGCCAAGTACGACAAGTACGATTTTTGATAAATCTGCCACTGAATTGAAATAATTTTATTTGGTCTAACTGTGTATGAGTCTGCCTAAACTTTGATCCGACAAACTGAATCACCTTCCGTTCTAAGGCTCCGAAGTCGCAGGAACACTGACCATCAAACTAACTCTAGTTCAACGAGGTGGAAACAGGAAACTGTGAAGATTACAAGGAGATCTATCATTTCAAGTGCATGACGGAATTATGGCGCAGTCTTTAATGACTGAATAATGATGAGATGATTTTATTTCCTGCGTAAAGGCAAAAATAGGATAAGTATGAGAAATGCGAAGAACAAGTACAAGTACAAAGAAATAGCAGTAACAGTGGCATTAGATCGATATGTGGGAAATGATAAGCGCGCATGTGTGATGACCCATTAGAGCCGTGCCGGTCACCAGGGACCAGATCGTCGAGAGAGAGCCGCCGCGATAATATAAGGGCGGGGCGGGCAAAGGCGTTCGGAATGTGGAAAAGTGGAATTCTGAGGTAACCCAATAGAATTGCTCAATCGATACTCATAACTTCCTTATTTGTTTATTCAAGTTGCCTGATATCAAGGAACAAACGAACATGCTGAAAAATGAATTGAATTTACTCGACAATATCATGAAGATGAAGGAAAAAAAGGGGAAGAAATGAATATGTAACTGCATGTACAGCCGCATGAAACAAATGACTAATGGTTCTTTTACCCCATCAAAGTCTAGTGTAATAATGTCGATGATGTATGACTTGCATACTATCAACGTTCTCTCGAACTTCGCGGTAGGGTGCCCACACAATCCCTTAGAGTACATGACGTAGGACACTGACAACAACTGATTTAAGCTTTTTCACTCAAAAATCGAATATTCAGATCCACTGAGTATCCGGAGCTTGTAGACGATCTAAGAGGATAATATTCAAGGAAGCGAGAGAAGAAAGGACCTTTGAAGAGGGAGTGGCCGAGATCCAATGCGGTGTGACAAATATGAAATACTTCGGCGTGGCCGTTCGGTGGATGCGGTCATTATGAACAAAGGGTGACGTAACTTTTTCCTGCGCTTATCTAAGCAAAAATCCCTTCATGTGCCACGTGCACATACAGCAAATGAATAAATAAATAAATTAAAGTGGTGGACGTTACAGTATTCAAAGATGGTCAAACAGGAAGTGTCCAACTGACGATAGTGGATTGCGAACATAATTACTGTACGCGAACTATGTGGAATAGGCAACTCAGAAAAAACTTTCCAATTTTCATTTTTTCAGAGAAGTCTTGGACAACTACGACATATTCTGGTCTGGGAAATTTAGCGCACCGATCAAAAAAAAAAGGTAAAAAATGTGTGTACACGTGAGAAGGTTCTCTGGGAATCCATGATAGTGAAAGCGTAATTCTCATGACCACTTTTAGGGATGAATAAATACTAAAAGTAGTTGCATTTTGCCATTTTCAAGTAGAGACGACGAGAGGGAGTGCTGAAGGAGAGAGAGCAGACGGCATGAGATAAAGGGCCAGACGCCGCCCACTCACCTCGTTTTTCCCTAACAACTATTTTTCATCTGAGGATTTGTTCCGTTATCCATTTATCGAAAGCGGAACGCCGTGCGAGTAGAAGACCCCTCACCCCATAAAAATGAGTATAACGGAAAAATCACCTCGATATCCTTCCTGAGTTATTTAATGAAAAATAATGGAATGGTCATAGGGTAATAATGCAACATGCAGAGAATATAACAAGACAAGAATGAGAATAACCGGAAATGTTACAGAAATTCGCTAACGATGGAAGCGAGACGAGCGGGCAAGACCG